GGGACGTTACTTGAAGAATTGGAAGACTGCTCCTTGTTGGTAATAATGTGCTGTGAATTCTGCCACTCCATGGGTTTAATTTTCAGTTTTGTTGCTGTATTGTCATGAAAGATCTTTAAAAGTTATTTATTTTATTGTGTGCATGTGTATGCACACATTTGAATATGTGTATGTGGGTGCACATGTGTGCCTGTGCATGTGGAGGCTAGAGTCACTCCAGATAGTCTTCCTCCAGAGCTGTCCATCCTGTTTTTTTAAAAAATAATTTATTTTTATTTTATGTGCACTGATGTTTTGCCTGAATGTATGTCTGTGTGAGGGTCAGATTTTGGAGTTACAGACAATTGTGAGCTGCCATGTGGGTGCTAAGAATTGAACCTGGGTCCTCTGGAAGAGCTAAGCCATCTCTCCAGCTTCACACTTAGTTTTTGAGAAAGACTCTCACTGGGCCTTTGCACTTGATTAGGCTAGGGTGGCTGGCCAGTGAGTCCCAGGGACCCACCTGTCTTTTTTATTTATTTGTTATCAGCTTGATACAGAATAAATTATTATCCTAATAGTGAAATGTTTCATTGAGGCTTGTCCAGTAATTGAGCAAAACCAAAACTTATTATAAGCCACAGTTATCCTAGGGTCCCCCCTGCTATATATCCTCTCTGGTTCTGTGGGTTGCAGTCTGATTGTTCTTTGCTTTATATCTAGTATCCACTTCTGAGTGAGTACATACCATGTTTGTCCTTCTGGGTTTGGGTTACCTCACTCAGGATGATATTTTCTAGCTCCATCCATTTGCCTGCAAATTTCATGCTGTCATTGTTTTTCTCTGCTGAGTAGTACTCCATTGTGTATATGTACCACATTTTCTTAATTCATTCTTCAGTTGACAGGCATGTAGGCTGTTTCCAGGTTCTGGCTATTATGAATAGTGCTGCTATGAACATAGTTGAGCATGTATCTTTGTGGTATGATTGAGCATTCCTTGGGTATATGCTCAAGAGTGGTATGGCTGGGTCTTGAGATAGATCGATTCCCAATTTTCTGAGAAACCACCATACTGATTCCCACAGTGGCTGTACAAGTTTGCATTCCCACCAACAGTGGAGGAGTGTTCCCTTTGCTCCACATCCTCTCCAACATTGACTGTCATTAGTGTTTTTGATCATAGCCATTCTGACAGGTGTAAAGTGGTATCTAAGAGTCGTTTTGATTTGCATTTCTCTGATGATTAAGGATGTTGAGCATTTCCTTAAATGTCTTTCAGCCATTTGAGATTCTTCTTTTGAGAATTCTCTGTTTAGCTCTTTAGCCCATTTTTAAATTGGATTGTTCAGTATTTTGATGTCTAGTTTCCTGGGTTCTTTATATACTTTGGAGATCAGTCCTCTGTCAGATGGACCCACCTGTGACCAAAATACATAAGGGAACAGCTTCAGGGAGGAGTTACTGATTATTCGGGCTCTCGGCTTGAAGGGCCCCGTCCTTGGTTGCTTGGTTGCAGACACTTAAACAGAATATCATGGTGGTGAGAGGATGTGGTAGGGGAGTTTTTTGGCTTCGTGGTTGTCAGGAAGCAGAATTGAGTACCAGCGTTCATCTCTCTGACTTTGGAAGCCTTGTGACCAGCTGCATCATGCTCCTGCTCTCATGCCTCCCCCCTCCCCACCCCACCATGGGGGACTATAGTGTCCTACTGTGAGTCAGAATAAGCCCCTCTTTTCCTAAGCTGTTCCTGTCAAGGTCAAAGTAACTGACAGAATGTGTGGGACCTGGCACTTGCTTAGGCTAGGTGGGCTGGCCAGCAAGCCCCAGGGATCCACCTATTCCATCTGCCCAGTGCTAAGATAGCAAGTATGGACCACTGGGCCCCACTTTTTTTTTAAAGTGGGGTGCTTGGGATCAAACTCAGGTCCTCATGCTTGTGCAGTGAGCACTGAGCACTTTATTGATTCTCTGTAATGGAGCAACATACAGAATGCTGAGTAACGTACAAAAGCTAAGAACGGTAGGTGTTTGGGAACAGTGGAAGGAGAGATTTCCTCAGATGGGTACACAGGCAAAAGGCAAGGAGACACAAAGTCTTAAGTTGCCATTCTTTCTGGTACAGTGATTACATGTGATGTTTGGGGAAGTGGGCAGTCACACCCATGTCTTGTGCAGTCATTCAGGAGGCATGAAGTCATGTGATGCCAGCTTGCTCTGAGATGTGGCCTTACTGAAGTGTACCAGTGAGGAAAAGGCCTTATTAAAGATGGTTGTTACCAAGCAACAGCTGGGATGTCAAGGATGGAATAAAAGGAGCTTAGATGGGGAGGAACGATGTTTGAGAGCTGTTCTGGTTTCTGTGTAATTTCTCAGTGAGAATCAGCATATGCTCACTGTAGAGAATCAGGAGAGTAGACACAAAGAGAAATGAATCTCCAGCCTCCATGGTGGCAGCTTGGGGACTTTTGGATGAGTGTGGCTGGGTGTTCACCTGCTGTTTGACCCAGCATGTGCTAGGATAGCTCATTCACACACCTGGGTTGGTTAATTTGTGTGCCAACTCCACAGCCCTGTTAGCTAGTAAAACACAATTTCTGAGTGTCTTTCTAGAATTGATTAGTGTTTAAAAATACCTTTTATTTGTTCTTTGAGCATTTTTTTTTTTTTTTTTTTTTTTTTGGTTTTTTGAGACAGGGTTTCTCTGTGTAGCTTTGCGCCTTTTCCTGGATCTTGCTCTGTAGACCAGGCTGGCCTCAAACTCACAAAGATCCACCTGCCTCTGCCTCCCGAGTGCTGGGATTAAAGGCGTGCGCCACCACCGCCCGGCTCTTTGAGCATTTTATATATGTGCTGGGCATGATGGCTTACTCCTTTAATCCCAGTACTTGGGAGACAGAGGCAGTAGATCTCTGTGAGTTCAGGGCCAGCCTGGGCTACATAGTGAATTCCATGCCAGACAGAGACACACAGTGAGGCACTGTTTCAAAAAAATCATAAATATATTCAATATATCTTCTCCATTCCAGCTCCCCTACTACTCTCCCCAAACCCCTGCAACAAACCCCTTCCCAACTTCATCCCCCTCCTCATGCCCTTTTCCTATTTTTTTGTAACCCACACTGTGGTGGTTTGAATAAGAATGGTCCTGATAGGCTCATAGATTGGAATGCTTAGTCATCAGGGAGTAGCACTATTTGAGAAGGATTAGGAGGTGTGGCCTTGTTGGAGTAGGTGTGGCCTTGTTGGAGGAAGTGTGTGGGGGGGAGGGCTTTGAGGGCTCAAAAGCCCAAGTAGGACCCAGTGGCTCTCTCTCTTCCTCCTGTCTGTGGCTGAGATATAGAACTCTCAGCTACTTCTCCAGCACCATGTTTGCCTACACCCTGCTGTGCTCCCTGCCATGATGATAATGAAATAAACCTCTGAACTGTAAGCAAGCCCAATTAAATGCTTTCTTTTATAAAAGTTGCGGTTGTCATGGTATCTCTTCACAGCAATAGGACAGCGACTAACAAACCCATTGACTCTAATTATTGTTGCCAGCTGGAATGCTGACTGATCTAGTTGGCTTGAGCTTGTGTAGGGCTTATGAAGGAGACCACAGCTAAAGTGAGTTCATGAGCACAATAGGCATGTCATGTCTGGAAAACAGCATCTCACACTTGCCTCCTCATCCTCTGTCTCCCACATTCTTTCTCCCTCCTCATCTGTGATGCTCCTTAAGCCTTGAGGAGGTTGATGTGGATGTCCCATTTAGGGCTGAGTACTCAACAGCTGCTGATCTCAGTGCTTGGACCAGTTCTTAGTCTGAATCAACGGGTGCCCACTGCAGAAAGGGGCTTCCCTGGCCGAGGGCTGAGAGCAGCGTTCTTCTATGAGTATATTAGTTACTTCTCTATTGTGATGAAACACCATCACCAAGGCAACATACAGAAGAAAGGGCTTATTTGTCTTATAGTTCCAGAGGGATATGAGTCCATCACAGTGGGGGATAGTAGCAGCAGGCTCTCAAGAAAGCCATAGGCCAGCAAGCCTGTGGGAGGCTGAGCAAACACTACATCATGGGCTCATGAGACTATCGTGAAATGAATTTCCCAGGTATTGGAGACTCTGGAGCAATCCCACTTACATATGAGAGACATACTCAGTGAGAAGGGATTCGGCCCAGGACTCTGCATAAGCTGTGATCTGTTCAGGGCAAGAGCCTGGCTCCCCTTTCTTCTCCAGTCTCAGCCTCTTCTCTGGCAAAATGAAAGGAGCTGGCCAGGGTTGGCTCCAGCGCTAAAAGGGAAATGATGGCGGGGTGGAGAGATGCCTCTTGCAGAGGACCTGAGTCCTAACACCCACACTGGGAGGCTTGCAGCCTACCTTCCAGATCTAGGAACCCAACACCCTCTTCTGGACTCTGCGGGCCCTGTACTCAGGTGCACAAACTCACACATAGACATATATACATATATAAACATATATACATCAATTAAGCATAAAACAAATCTAAAAGACAAATAAGGTGAAGACAGGGGAGATGCCGGATGTTGGCCTCTGGTCTCCACATACATACACAGAGGCTCACCTCATTTCCCCATAACCCTCCAGAAGCCAAACATAACATTTATTCATGACTGGACAATGTAACAGTTGTTAGTTAACACTGAACACTAGGGGAGCCGTAGACAAGCTGTGACTTAAGGTCATATCTGAAGAAGAAAGGAATGGAATTTTTGTTTCTATTTCTTTATTTTTCTTTATTTTGCCTTTCTCTAAATTTTTCTCTCTCTTCTTCATTTTTTTAGGAAGTGGAACTTTTTTGTTTCTTTTTGCCCATGCTCTCTCATTGTGGACCTTAAAAAAAAAATCATTCAACCAGGTCTTTTTGGTTCCTAAAAGGATAAGGGAGGGGTTGCAGGCGAGGGCCCTAGCTCATCCACATGGCTTTCCCGGCGTTCCCAGGGCTGCTGGTCACGTCCCCCCCCCCCCCCCCCCCCCCCCCCGTCCCCTGGCCCCACCCCCTTCCTTCCAGCTAGGCTTCTCTTGTTTGTTTGTGTGAGTCTGGGAGGCCCAGGCATCTACCCTGTTGGCAAGAGAGAGGGCTTGTTGGGCTGAAATCTTTCTGCTTGGGTCTCTGCGGAGCTCTTCCTGCTTAGAAAAGAGGTTTTTGTGTCCCCCTCTCCCTTTTTTGGCCTCTGAGGCACCAGGGGAGTGATTAATAGAAGGCTACCTCGAGATTTCAATAGGGCCGCAGCATGAGCTCCCAGGGCCGGCAGGGCCTTTGTTCCGCAGAAATCTGCGATAAAGCCTTGGTGGCTGCCTGCTTGCAATCCGAGGTCCTCATTCTGTCTGTGCCAGGCCAATCTCACGACCTGAGCAGCTTGGGAAGGTCGGGGCTGGAGCTGGGGCACCGAGATCCTGGATTTCTTTTGTGAGACCCCGCAGAGCAGAGGGAAGATCATGGGTGAGGGCGGGGCTGATCGCCATGTGAGTCTTAGGTAAAGGGGACTGGAGGCTCCTTCCCTGGGCGTCTGTGATACAAGTGTGCCAGAAAAGATGAAGGCCTGTGAATGGGATGCAAGACACAGAGTTTGACCACTGCTAACTTTAGACAGAGTATGAGGTCAGCCTAATACCACAGCAGAAGCTGTGGGGACTTTGGGGCTCATGGGAAGTGATGAGATTGGATGGCCTATGACCGGAAGGGGGACATTAATCAGTAAGTGGGATGGTCCCATGGGGGGTGTAAAATGTAATTGAACAGGGGCCACTAGAAGGTTATTATGGCCCCATGAAAGCAAGGATCAAATGGAACATTTTAAAATTCTCTTTTTCTTTTTTCTTCTTTTTGTACTGCTGAGGATTGAACCCAGGGCTTCCACATGCCAGGCATATGCTCTCCCCTGAGTCACACCCCAGCCCCTCACTGGGAGATTCTAGGCAGGAGCTCTACCACTGAGCCACACTCCAGCCCCTCACTGGGGGATTCTAGGCAGGTGCTCTACCACTGAGCCACACCCCAGCCCCTCACTGGGGGATTCTAGGCAGGTGCTCTATCACTGAGCCACACCCCAGCCCCTCACTGTGGGATTCTAGGCAGGTACTCTACCACTGAGCCACACCCAAGCCCCTCACAGGGGGTGTCTAGGCAGGTGCTCTACCACTGAGCCACATCCCAACCCCTCACTGGGAGATTCTAGGCAGGTGCTCTACCACTGAGCCACACCCCAACCCCTCACTGGGGGATTCTAGGCAGGTGCTCTACCACTGAGTCATACCCCAACCCCTCACTGGGGGTGTCTAGGCAGGTGCTCTACCACTGAGCCACACCCAGTTCCTCACTGGGGGATTCTAGGCAGGTGCTCTACTGCTTAGCAACTACCCTTATCCTCTTTCTGTTTTTCTTTTGAGAAAAGGTCTCATTGAGTTACCTGGGCAGGCCTTGAACTCCCTTTGTCACCTTAATTTGTATCAACCTCCTGAGGAGCTGAGATGTTAGACCTGTACCACCAGCCCCAGCTCCTTCTTTCACTTTGGTTCCATGTTGGCCTATAGACTATCAGAGAATACTGTCGTCTGTGGCCAGGATGGGTCCCCCGCTCAGCTGTTTTCCTATGTGTCCTCTGGGAACACCCTCACAGAATTATACTCCACTCATCTCCTAAGTATCTCAGTATTTGCACCCTTTTAGTATGTGTGTGTTCTTGTGTGTGGGTACACATGAACTTACAAATGTGTGTACATGTTTCCTAGTTAAGGTTACTATTGTGGGGATAAAACACCATGACCATAGCAAGTTGGAGAGGAAAGAGTTTACTTTACCTGGCTTACACTTCCACAGTGCTGTTCTGTTCATTATCTAAGGAAGTCAGGACAGGAACTCAAACAGGGCAGGAACCTGGAGGCAGGAGCTAATGCAGAGGCCATGGAAGCTAGTTACTGGCTGTATTTGGAATTTTCTTTGGGCCACCAACCAGCTCCCAAATAAAGACACAGAGACTTGTTAATTATGAATGCTCAGCCTTAGCTTAGGCTTGTCTCACTAGTTCTTTTAACTTAATTTAACCTGTTTCTATTCATCTACGTTTTACCTCAGTGCTTTTTACTTTTCATTCTGTATGTCCTACTTTCCTGCTTCCTCTGTGTCTGCCTGTCTGGCCTCTGGTGTCTCCCTGATTTTTCCCTGGTGTTTCCTTTCTTTCTTCCCTGAACCCAAATTCCTCCTATTTACTCTCCCTGCCTGGAAGTCCCGCCTACACCTCCTCCCTGGCTTTTGGCTGTTCAGCTATTGGCCATTCAGCTTTTTATTAGACCAATCAGGGTGCCTTAGGCAGGTAAGGTAAAACAGCAACACATCTTTACATAGTTAAACAAATATTCTGCAACATAAATACAACACATCTTTGCATAGTTAAGCAAATATTCTGCAACAACTGGCTTTCTTCTCATGGCTTGCTCAGCCTGTTTTCTTATAGAATCTAGAACCACCAACCCAGGGATGGTACCACCCATCATGGTCTGGGCCCTCCCCCATCAATCACTAAGAAAGTACCCTTCAGGCTTGCCTATAACCTGAGGCATTTTTTAAATTGAGGCCTTCTCCATTCTGATGACTCTAGCTGTGCCAAATAAAACTAGCCAGCACAATGTGTAACAGAGACAAAAGGACAACCTCAAGTCTCATGTCCTTCCTCAGGTGCTGTCCACCTATTTTTCATTTTGAGACAGTGTCTGGAACTAGGTTGACCAGCCAGGGAGCCCTAGGGACCTGCCTGCTCCTGTCTGTGTAGCTCTGGGGTTATAAGCATGATTCACAACACCAGGAGGCTATCTGAAGGTGGGCTCTGGTGATTGAACTCAGGTCCTCAAGTTTGTAAGGTAAGCATTTTATCAACTGACCTATCTCCTCGGCCCCAAATATGCATACTGATCAGTATCGGAGTTTTGACTTGCTCTGTTTCCAACCTGGGCCATTCACCCCTCCTTAGAAAACCTCATGGTCCCCTGCTCCTGGGAAGTCACCATGCTGATGTTGAACTTAGTGTGGGTACCCCATCAGTACAGCCCAGAACTCCTGGACTCAAGTGATCCTCCTGCCTCAGCTTCCAGAGTAGCTAGTGTGTGCTACTGAGACTGGCTCAAATTCTGCACGCTGAAGCCCCAACTCCCAGTTTACTATGAGTGCAATTGGAGACAGGGTCTCTGCAGAAGTGATTCACGGAGGGTGACATCATTAGAGCGCCTTGCTTCAGTGGGGCCAGCTCTCTAGATCGCAGACTTCTGGCCTGAAAAACAGGGAAGAGAAAAATATCTGTGGTGTTGGTCACAGTGTCCCTGGGGACCACAGCATCCACTGAAAGCAGTTCTGAGGATTAAGTGAAAAGCAACTGAGGCCAGTGTAGGGGAGATCTCATGGGATTCAGCCATGACAAAATGCAAGCCATGGTGCCTCTCCCATCTGGGACCCGGTGTGGAATCATTTGATTTCTGGTGGATGGATCCACATAGGGGCTTTATAGCACTATACATCCGACAGACATTTTCTGGAGAGATGCAACACACACACACACACAGTTTACTCACCCCACATCCCAGAAAGAGAACTCACGACAGACCAAAGTAAGAACCATACCAAAGTTCACTTAGTGAACCAATGAGTTTTTTATTGGGGTCACTAACAGCAGCCTGGGTGAGGAGCAGGAGCAGGGGTGACTCAAAAGCAGCTGGGTCACTTTGAAAGCACACTTCAACTAGAAGATGATTGGCAGGCAGCTCCACCATCTGAGAAATCTTGCAGTTTGGCTGATCCGTCCCCTCCCCCACCAGCTGTTTCCTGCTACTATAAAGCTGAGGAAGGTCCTTCTACAATCCGACTTGCTACTCTCCCAAACCTCCTTCCTGGAGGATACTGCTGTATGTATGACATGGCACACCAATAGTGATGCAAGGGACACAGAGGTGGCAAAGTTAGATGGAGTTAAATAGGAAGAGAAGCTGGGCATGGCAGCACATACCTGTAACTCCAGTACCCAGGAGATAGAGGCAGGAGGATTGTGAGTTAGAAGCCAGCAGGGGGTTACATAGCAAGATCCTGTGTTTAAACACCCAGGTCTGGAGCCAGGCAGCCTAGAGTGAGTCTCATGACTACTTAGGGCCTCCCACCCATTCCATATGGTGTTGTTCAATCAAGGTCAAGCCACCAGGCCCATCTCTGGTTACAAGGATGTCACAGGCCCACACTTAGGATAGGCCATACAAAGTTACAACTGTGCGGGTGTTTATTTTATTTTGAGCCATGGTCTCATATATCCCAGCCTGGCCTCTCTTGCTGGGAAGCTGAGAATAACCTTGTACTTCTGATCCTCCTTGTCTTAGCCTCTCAAATGCTGAGATTAGAGGTGTGTACCATGGCTTGTTGCTTTGTTTCAGAGGGTTTCTCCTTAAACAGGCCAATCCAGCTTGGAACTCAAGATCCTCCTGCCTCAGCCTCCCAAGTGCTGGGATTACAGGTGTGTTACCAAGCCTGGAATACTTGCTTATCTACTCTGTGCTTCAGATCTTTTCAGAACAGGGTACATAGGGCCAGTGAGAAGAAGGCTGTTGGTAAAAGTGCCTGCTGCTCTGAGTTGAAACTTCAGAACTCACACGGTAGGAGAGAACAGATTTCAGCAAGTTGTTTTCTGACCTCCACATCCACAGTAACTAATAAATAAATGGTTAAAATACTAGGATAGTGCATAAAGTTTAAAAAGGCAGAAGAACCAATAAGCTATTTAACAATTACACTGAGCGTTTGGACAGCAGCCGAGTCTTCAGTAGGATCTCATAAACACAATCGCGAAGACTAAGTGCTATAATAAAGCGCCTGTAATATTTTAATAACTTCCTCTTCGAACCGGTCATTTAAGATTGAATGTGTACTGAGCATGGAATACGGATGCTGACTGCGAGGAGGTGGCCTGGAACCTGCAGGTAGCTGGCTGCACAGGCGGCGCTCGACATGAACCCACCCGCAGAGTGCACGTTGCTCCATCCATTCATCCCTGGCTTGGCAGGGTTATCTCCGAGGCCCCGCCCACCCTGCGGCTGCCGCCGCACACGTGATCGCGGACTACTGTTCCCTCTCCCCGCGTGGGTCAGGAAACGGCAAGCATGCTCAGCCCCGAACACCGGAAGGCGCCGAACACGGCGCCCTGCGCACGCGCGGAGGGCAGCAGGCACCACCAGGGGGCACTGCGGATGCCGTGGGGGAGGGGCGCGCCGCCGCACGGGACCACGTGCGCACCACGTGGCGCCCGGCAGCCCCGGGGCCGTGGCAGGGTCGCCCTGTTGGCCACCCCACAGCCCGCGTGGGTGGCGGAAGCCGTTCTCCCCGTCTGCTCCCCCGCGCCCGCTGACCTCTGACCTCCGACCTCACTGCCTTGGGGTTACCCCTCGCAGCCGGTTGCGCGGTGTGTTTATAAACAGAACTCCCGGTGGCCGCGAAACCCCGGATCGCTGGATTCCAACCCAAGGGAACGGAGCTTCCGCACATGCGCACCCACGGCTACACCGGCGCATGCGCATCGAGGCCCGGCGCGGGTGGCTGTCTCCGCCCAGTGCGTCCTTGCGCAGTACCGGGCGACTCTTCCGGGAAATGGGGCCCGGGAGGTTAAATATTGACCACGCGTGAACCAGAATCCTGCCCACTTCCCTTGACCATAGTGTCCCCAGTGGACACAGCGAACCTGGAGCCTAAGGACCCTGAAGAATCAGTACAACACGCGTATATTACATGTTTTATTTAAAAAGTGGGAGGAAATGAACACTAGATGATGAGCCTTGAGGACGTTGTGCAAAAGGTGACACACATCTGTAAATCTCAGCCGCTGGGATGCTGAGGCAGGATGACGAGTTCGAGACCAGCCATAGGCTGCATGAATCTGCTTATAAGAGGTCTCTGGAATAGTAACAGTCATAGGAAGTAGAAAGGTGGCTTAAGGGAGGAGGGAGGGGAAAACGAAAGTGTTTATTACCGCAGAGTACCTTCTCGGGAAGTTAGGAAAGTTCTGGACACGGGCGGTAGTGAACAGTGAATGTACTTCATGTCGCAAGACTATTCTTAGAAATGGTTAAGGTGTCCGGGCTGTGGCATAGTGGGTGGAGTGCTTGCTTAGTATTACACCCCAAGAACACATAAGCCAGGCATGGTGGTGCATGCCTGTATTCCCATCATTTGGGGGAGGGAGGCAGAAGGATCCTAAGTTGAAGGCTAGTTTGGACTATAGCAAAAGAGAGCCGTTCTGAAGTTTCTTACATGTGTTTCATAGGTCAGGTCGGATGCCTGTGCTGTCGCACTGGGAAAAGGACAATATGATGCTTTTATGAGCTAAGAGGCTGGCGCTGGGTTCTCACCTGTGTCAGTCTGAATCCCCCCAGCCCTAAACAATACCCAGTTTCAGTCCTTCTTAGGTCAGTCTCTTACCTCCCCAGCACCAGCTAGGGACAGCAGCCCCCACTCTCCACCATCTCTGGTTTGTATTCATTGTGTTCCTGCTTACTAAACACTAGGTATTATGCAAGGAGGTAAGTGACCCACACAGTTACATAAGGACTCTTTCCTGCAGGGACTTTCTACTCTGCTAGAGGCCATTGTTGATGAAGACAGAAAAATGTCAAGTGGTGACTGCTGGCAGAAAGGGTGATTTTAATTAAAATTTTCATTCTTTTTTTAGATTAAAAGTTAATTTATTTTCTCACATATTACATCCTGAATGCAGCTTCTCCCTCCTCACCTCCCAGTCCTTCTCCCCTCCCTATCTACTCCTCCATTTCCTCAGGCCTCCCAGGAATATCAACCAAACATGGTATGTCAAGTTGCAATAAGACTAGGCGCCAGTAAGAGGAAAAGGGTCCCCAAAGCAGGCAAAACCATCAGAAACAGCTTCCCTTCCTCCCCATTAGGAGTCCTACAAAAACACCAAGTTACACAACTACAGCATATACATTGACTCATTTTGTATGTGTGTATCTTCCCGAGAAGTTATTCTGTTTCCATTAAACATCAACTTTGCTTTCTCTAGTCCTACTTCCAATGAATATGTGTGTGTCTGTGTGTGTATGGACACATATGTGTCATAATGAATGTATGAAGGTCAGAGGACAACTCAGAAAAGTCAGTTCTCTCCTTCCATCAGGTGAGTCTCAGGGATTGAACTCAGGTCATCATCGTCCCTACCTGCTGAGCATCTCACTGGCCTGTGATCTGACCTCGATCAGGAGATGGTGAATCTGCTGAGCCTGTTCCTTTGAGCTGACACCTGTGTCATGTGTCACAAGGAGACATCGGAGGGAGGGCTGGAGTTTTTCCTGGGGGTTTCCATGGAGAGAGAAAGCGAGCAATATACAAAGCTCTAGGGCTGGGATCACCTGTGAGTTTGAGGGACAGACAAAAAGGTCAAGTGGAGGGATGTGAGGAAATGTGCAGGCAGTGAGAGGCATGCCTCTTGTCATATTTGTGTGACAAATCACCCCAGTGTAATAGGTTAAAACCACAGTCACTCTGTTTGAGTCACAAGTTTACGGCTGGGGGGTTTCTTAGGAGTCTTCTATAATGGTTATTAGATGTTGTGGGCGTTTGAAGGCTGGGTAGGGCTAGGCCTCCAAGATGGTGCCTTCCCGTGGTTGGCTGGTTGGCTGGTGGTGCTGGTTGTCAATGGGGCACTAGACGGGATGTCAGGAAGGTGTCCCTGTGACTTTCCCCAGTGTGGCAGTCTTAGTGGTTAGACTGCTTTCTCTCTCCTCCCACCGTGTGTGTGTGTGTGTGTGTGTGTGTGTGTGTGTGTGTGTGTGTGTGCGTGCTTGCTTGCTAGAGGTCGAAGCTGATGTCTTCCTTATTCTCTCTCCACCTTAGTTTTTGAGCTAGGTTCTGTCATTGACCAGGAGAGAACTACTCCATTGTCTGGGTAGGCTGGCTGGTCAGTGAGCTCCAGGGATCCCCCCATTTCAGCCTCTCTAGTGTCCAGCTGTACTTTACATGGGTGCTGGGAATTGAACTCAGGGCCTCATGCTTGAGCAGCAAGTGCTTAACTAAATGAGCCATCTCCCAGTTCCTTTCTCTGCTTTCTGTTTTAGGATAGGATCTCACTGAGTTGCGCAGCCTGGGCCTTGGACTTGCTCTGTAGGACAGGCAGGCCTTGAACTTTCAGTTTTCCTGCTTCAGCTCCCTCCAACAGCAGGGATGATAGGTCCCCACCATTGGGCCTGGCCATATTCATGGTTAAATTTGCAGCATCCAGTGAAGGCCCTGGCCTCCAGCCATCACTCAGTAAGTGCTTGAGGCACTGGTGAGTAATAGATTTAATGAGGAGTCCATTCCACAGGCTCAGTATTCTTAATCAGCAGCTTGCGGAGCATATGCAAGGAGCTTTGTGGAAGTTCCCAGGGTTCTCTGCAGCATCCCTTAGACCCATTTCACAGAGAGGAGCTAGAGGTTCATGGGGGAGAGGCATGGGTTGGGTTGGGTTTTGCTGATGACGACCCTCTGCTCTCCTCTGCCTGACTTATCACTCATCAGAGGTAGTGTTCAGTTGTGACGAATTATCAAAACAGACCTCATATTCACAGGTGGCTAAGCAGCCTCATGATGGCAGGTGACAAAAAGCATTGGGCTAAGATTGGGCTGTGGCTGTAGCTCAGTGAGTAGAATGCTTGCCTAGCATGCACAGAGCCTTGCATTCCATCCCTAGCCTTGCAACATGCCTGTAATTTCAGCACTTGGGAGGTAGAGGCAAGGGGATCAGGAGTTCACAGCCATATACCCCAGGTCAGGCTGGGGTATATGAGACACTGTCTCAAATAAACCAGAATGAGCAGGGTGCAGTGGCTCACTGTAGGTGTTGGAGTGGGGAGATGGCTTAGTTGGTAAAGTGCTTGCTTGCCATGTAAACACCGGGAACCCAAGCTTAACCCCCAGAACCTACAGAAGAATGCCAGGCATGATGGTGCATGCTTGTGATCCCAGCCCCAGGAAGAAGCCACAGGCAGAGTCTTGTGGCTCACCGACCAGCTGGCTAGTCTAGCCTCGTGGATGAGCTCCAGTCCAGCGAGACCCTGTCTCAATGCACAATGGGAACAGTGCTTAAGGAACAAGAGCCCACGTTGATCTCTGCCTTCCAGAGGAGGTGGTCTCTCTAGACCCCCCAAACAAGTTTTAGGAATCCTGAATATACTATGAATTGAAAGACTAAGTTTTCACAAGTAAGATGTTTTGATTAAGATATCACCTCTTCATTCCTGCTGATGTCACATGACATTGCTCACCTAATCATTTATTTCATGGCAAAAAAAAAAAAATTGCTTGCAGGCCTGAGATCCTGTAATTACCCGTTTGGCTGCACACGTCTCACAAGATCTTTGTGGTACACTCATGGTGAGGGAGGCAGGGACTCTGCCAGGTGCAGAACTCTGTTGGCAAGGGGACAAGTCACATGAAACAGGGTGACGGCCAGGGATTGCTCCTGTGGGATCCTAGGACTCATAACCTGGCTGGTAGGTGTAATAGCGCATGCCTGTCATACCAGCTACTTTGGAGGCTGAGAAGGGAGGACCTTGAATTTAAGGCCAGCCTGGGCTAGATGGTGATAATCTGTCTCAGAACAAAACAAACAAACAAAAAAAACAACAACAAAATCCAGTGTTGGGGAGCCATGCCGATCCCTGGAGTAAGCTGGCAAGCTATAACCACTAAGCTCTGGGTTCAATGAGAGAGACCTCGTCTCAGCAAAAAGGTGGAGAGTGATTGAGGAGGGTGCATCTTAATTTGCTTTCCATTGCTACGATAAAGCACCACGAACATGTTTGCGCATACGTACACATACAGTAAACCGATGTTTACATTTTCTTTCCCTTATCATGTAATACAATATCGATTGAGAGAGTATCAGCAGTTACCACGTTTAAGTTATGAGACACTGAAAGATTAAGGACTCCTCAAAGGACCTTGCCACCTATTCTAAAACAATCCTTTGCAGTTGTATGTGAGATAGTTATGTTAGGCAGAACTATGACCTGGTTATTGTTTTCATTTGGAAATTAATCTCAACACAAGGAGATATGATTATGTGTCAAGCTGACAAGCGGCGGACTTGTGGTGGCTGTTCTTGGTTGTCAACTTGACTACACCTGGAATCAACTAAACCCTGAGCTGTTGGGCATACCTGTGAGGGACTTTCTTTTTTCTGCTTATTCTCTCATGTATTGCATCCTGACCGGTTTCCCCTTCTTCCCCTCTCCCCAGTCTCTCCTCCCACTTCCCCTCTCTCCCAGATCCACCCTCCCTCAGAAAAAAGCAGGCCTCCCAGGGACATCAACTAAACATGGCATAGTATGCTATTATAAGACCAGACACATACTACCACATCAAGGCGGATGAGGCAACCCAGTAGGAAGAAAAGGGTCACATAAGCAGACAAAAGAGTCAGTGGCTGTCCCCTGCTGCCACTGTTAGGAATCCCACAAGAATGCCAGGGTACTCAGCCATAACA